GAAGCAAGAGAATTTCCTCATTTTAGAATCCAGTGACGCTCTATTATTGTATAACAGAAAAGTGCTTGTATCCTCTTGTACCGTTCCTTACTACTCAGCTTTGCAACTGAGCATATTTGAAGCTCAGTTAATTAAAAAAAACTTAAGTGGTTAATTGTTTGGTGAATAATTTTCCAAAATTAAGTTTTGGAAACCACCCTCAAAATGTGACTGAGAAATTCATTTATTGTGCTGTGTTGACACTACGTAGGAGTGAGAGCTGTACATCTTTTTGTCAGTTCGTAATGTTCCATCATCCTTATACAAACATGTATAACATTTGCTTGGCTTTTTTTATAAATTAGACAAGCCTTTAATATACTCTGTCCCTCTTGCAGATTTCCTGCAGGTACCACAAAATACCACATTCTCTTTGAACATAGCTTATTTTGTGGTTGCCTAGGGGGCACGTTCATGATTCAAAGACTTTTTTGTGTTTTTACATTAGCATCTAATTACGTCAGATACTTTCTAACACTTAAAAAAAATCCTTAAAGGTAAGAGCCTTGAAGGACCATCTTCAAAACCTCCGCTAGCTGCAGTAAGCAGCTGTACCTCCTGTAATTAGAGATCCTACTCTTGTCTCAATTCATTAGGGATTTTGTTGCTTTAGGTAAACACCTTAGGGACACTACCACACACATAACAATTGAGTTTCTATTGCCTTTCCCGTGTTTGCCAACTCTGACAAAAAAGCTCTTGATAGCATTTGCTTTGAAAATGAGTGGAAAGGCAGGTAGGCAAATTAATTACCTTTCAGTTCTTATGGTCTTGTTGGAAAGATGGGTAAAGAAGGCTTTTGTACAAAATAAAACCAGCAAACCTAATGGGTCAAAGGATAAGGAGGAAACTTTAAGCTGAATCTGAAATCAAAACAGACCTATTGCAAAACTCTGTTCAGGTCCAGGAGGGCCTAGTTTGGTTCCCTGCTCCTCCTCATGGGGTGTGTGTGGGGATTTCTTGCCTGACTCACCTAGTTTGTGCATAGTGTGTGAGACTCACTATAATTTTTAGGGACAGTATAAAGTGACCCCATTTAATTCATTGTTCATTTTGTTGCTTATCCTCTCCTGTTAGGAGCAGCTCTATGGTATTGCAGCTGCCTGTGTATTTTGCCATTCTGCTCCCAAAAGATGCATGACACATTTTTGACTGGTAATATTAAACAACTTTAAAAAGAGCTTTTGTGAAATGCTTAAATTAAATTTCCAGTTATATTTTATTTGACGAAAAGGCGTTCATTAATGTCAATTTTTTTTACAAAAAAATCTTAACTTTGCATAATCCTGGTACCACTTAGGGATCCACAAGATCTGAAGATTAAACAGTTGAACAGTACCACTCTGCTTTATGTGGAGGCAAACCCCATTAGAACACTTTGTAGGGAAAATCAATTACTTCATGCTAGACCTTGGTAAATCCAGAAAGAGTTGTGGCTATATAGAGCTGGAAATGGAGCAGGCAATGGGTTTCAGTCTGCCAAGTTGGGAATAACTAGGGTTAGTAAGAACCCTAAATTAAAGACTTTGTGGTCGTTTCTGTAAATATGTTTAAAATGGAGACTTAAAGAGCAACACTTACAGAAGCAGATTAACTGAAACGAGAAGTTTGCCAATGTACAGATGATCAAGCACATTTATAATGAATTTATCCCTGATTGTCAGTTTTTAGCCAGTCAACAGTGACATTAGAGTTGGAGGGTAATGTTCCACTACATTTTCAGAAGCCTGTGAGGATGTCCTGCAGCATGTGGTCAAAGCTGAATGGTCAGGTGATCATATACCACCGGCAAGCGAAGGCTTCCCTAAGAGAGCTGGTCTTCTGCCTGAAAGAAGAGCAGATTCTTCTTGAGTTTATTACAATAGAACTGGAGGGACTGGAAGCATTATGACCACGTTTTGAAGTGGTCAAGAGTTTGTGTGTTGTTTGTGGATTGCAATTCAGAGCATCACTGTGTCGCTTTAGTGTGAAGCCGGGAAGCAGCTTGGCTACCTGGCAGGTAATGGTTATGGACTGAAGATGGTCCTTTTAAGTAGAGCTCCTAAGTGAGCTGGGCTTTTGTTTTCGGTTTGGACTGATTTCATCCACGCTGTAAATTCACTGGGCATGATGGGTTTCTGAGGCCCTGTCTGATGCTGTGCCCCAAGTGGTGTGTCTCGCAGGTTGCCAAAATAGATTGCCTGGGAGGGTGAGGCCTCTGTGTACAGCCCTTCAGACTCTTGGTAAAGAAACTGTGATGCAGTGGTGAAATAGAGCATGCACCCCACCTCTGTGGCTTGCCCACAAAACCCATTTTCAATTTTAACGTCTATAAACACAGAAATACGCATGTGACGTATTTTTTAGAAATAAAAGTAAATTCCCTAAATAAAATGGGAAAAAATCAGAATGCGGAGAATGTCAGGCCATTGTGCAGGAATGTCTGGATCAAGAATGCCCTGTGACTGTCTGACGAATGCAGACACAGCAGTAGGCTGTGGTGTGGGAGCCTGTAGATATCACCCACAGTGTGGAGAGCTTCTTTGTCTTTCACTGACCCCAGTTCAATGCCTGGGTCTTTCTCACAGGCTGCTAATTGAAAGCAGGCTTGTTGCGGGGTGATTACCTGCTTCCTCTGCTTCACAGGCAGCCAGCCTCTGTAATTCTTGTGTTGTAAACTGACACCAAACCATTAACCCTTTCATGGAAGAAAGAGGTTTCTGTATGAGTCAGAGGGAAACTGAAAGTATATCCTGAGTACTCTGGGAAATGTACCCAGACTTTCACTGAGTAAGACGGTGAATTTTCTGAGTATTAATATTGCATGGCAGCTGCTACATGATACTTCAATACATCAAGCATCCCTTATCCACTGTTTCATACCTATTACCACTTAAGTTTGTTTGCTTAATGATGTACAAAGGCTGTTTTTCACCTTTAATTTACTTGGTTTACTGAGTAAATGCTTATTTCAAGTACGTGTAGTTAAATTTTCTCTTCTGTCTTGAAGTCAATATTAGAGGCACTTTCTCTCATCCCACATTCCAAAGGCAAGCTCTGTTCTCGTGCCAGTTCACTGCGATAACCAAGTGGAAACAGAATTACAGTGCATTATGGATAGCAGAATTAGACACTTGTCGTCCATAGGAGCAGAATACCTCAGAAAACATTTTCTGGGATTGGGGGGGGCAATCGTTTTCATTTTCTTATGTTACGCATTGCTGCCCTTGATCATTGAGCCCTCGTGTGTGTACCCCAGAAAAGCAAAATAATGTTCGTATTACTGCTGTAGTGCTAGAACAGCACATCACATTATTATGACTTTGGAAGGAGTGATGCTTCAGATTGGTCATGTTTTCGAACCTAAAATAAGATTTTACCCTCTTTTCTGAAGTTGTTTTTTTACTGCAGAAAAGTTCATAAACCTTGTCTAGAACTGGGAATGTGGCACAAGATTGTCTTCATTGGCTAAAGAACATAATTCACAGGATCCAAAATGTCTGGTTTGTTTTAGGTGTCTAAGGCTCCTGTATTGTATATTTAGCTGTTATTAATTTATTTGGCTGGCGCTTTTATCCAAAGTGAGTTACACTTTCACCCATTTATACAGCTGGGGATTTTGTTGAGGTATTTTGTTGAATTTAGGTGAGGTACTTTTCTCAAGGGTACCACAGCAGGGTTCCACCCATGAGTTGAATACACAACCAGCCCAGAGCCCTAACCTTGACTCCACACAGCTGCTGTGTTTGTCGAGAACAATCACCGATCACCTCAATAGTGGTTAAGTGAATCAGTTTTCATCATAGAAAGTCTTGTTCCTGTATACCATGGTGACTCTTTTGTTTATGTTGTATCTGTCTGGTAGTGTAACTTCCCACATTACATGTGTGCATTCCTGCTCTCTAGTCAGGAAAACAAGTTGAGCAATGAAGGTCTGTGTCCTGACACTTACCTTTTATTTCTACTCTTCACCATAACATCAAGGAAGTGTTAACTACTTATTCTTAGGAAACATTTCTGATCTCTTTAGCTTATAAAAGTAAAAAAAAAATCAATGAATGTCATACCAGAACTTATGAGAAAATCTTCTAGCGAGAGTCTGTTTTCAGGAACCACTGCAGGGACAAATTCCTCTCTTTTGTCTTTTTGTTCCTTTTGCCTTCTTTACATTTTCTAGAAACACATGATCCTTGAGGTCTTGGTCACTGTGACCTGTTCAGGTGTAACATGCAGCAGTAAAAAAAAAACATTTCGTGTCTTGAGACACAATGAGAGTTTTCTAGGGTGTGTGGTGTTATATTATCTTATTGTGCTTCATTATTCAGAAAGGTCAGCTGAAAATTGCACACGCTGGCCTTCAGCATTTAACAAGCTCCGCAGCATCTGCTGGGTTAGGTCACACAGGGAGAATCTGTGAATGTCTGGGCATTCATTTGGGAAGACACTGGTTGTCCTCCATTCACTTTCAGTTTCTGGTTTTAGCAGTGAGACAGCTGAAAGGGGCCATTTGGATTTCTAGGGAATAAAAGAAGCATTGTTTCTGTTGCCAAAAGATGATGAAACAGGTACAGATTGCAGTTGTTCACACGTCAAAAAGCAGTCATTGTCAAAACAAACATTTGTTTTTTTCACCCTACTGAGACAGGTTAGTTTTACCCTACTGATGATGTGTTGTTGCAATAGTAATCATGCTCAGTACAAGAGGAGCCGCAGGTTCAGACATTTGGTGCGTGTGCTTGGCTGAGGAGCCAGTGGTCTGTGGGATTATGACTGAACGCCTCTAAGTCAGAATCCTGCCTAAACGCCTAAACACCCTACTGGATAGAGCTAGTATATGACAAAACTGTGATGAAGCTGTTCTTCTTCCGAGTCCAGTCAAGGAGGGGGACTTGAGTCCTAATAGAGTATTGGGTTTTACAGCCTTCCTCTGCTGTGGTGCTGTAGGTTAACCACCGGTGGGTCTGTTTTTCTGTGCCCCGCAGATGGAGTCTCCGGTCTCCACCCCTGCCCCTCCCCCGCTGCACCTCCTGGCTCCAGCTGGGAACAATGACATCGCCTCCCCCTGCGAGCAGATCATGGTCCGGACACGCTCAGTGGCTGTCAACACCTCTGATGTTGCCTTGGCAACAGAGCCCGAATGCTTGGGACCCTGTGAACCCGGGACCAGTGTCAACCTGGAAGGCATCGTCTGGCAGGAAACAGAGGATGGTAAGTGCTCGTTGAAGAGGGGGGTTACTCCTTTTGGCTTGGCAGGAAAGCACGGAGGTGCCTATATGGCAGCTGGGTCTGTCCATCTATTTCTGCTCCTAAGTTTCTGATGTATTGCTTCAGAATCCTTTAACAAAAATGGTCACTTGGGTCTGTCATCTGTTTATTACAGAGGAGGTTGTTCCAGGTGGTTTCAGAAAATAGTTGAAGTGGCAAACTATATAATCCTAATTGGGTTTATGAACAGAAACGTAAATGGTAACTAAATCAGATTTCTAAATTGATAATCTCTCAATACTGAGAGTGGGTGACATATTGTTTAGCAGATGTTCGTCGATCTGCACTGTCGAACGTCGGAATATTACAGTGTTAAACTGAATTTTACAGATGTAATTCTTCTTAAAAGTCATGTTTGAGAATAAATCTAATTTAGAAGCGGTTTTGTCAGTGTGCTTTGATAAACTACTGAAAGAAAAATTGCCATATGGCATCTTTATATCAGTTTAAGATTTAGAGTGTGTGGTACACACCTCCTGCTGTAGCAGTGGCTCGAGGAAGACGATAAGGTTCCCTATGGAGCTGATAGACCATTGTGGGCAACACCAGCGCAGCAGGTCTCCTTCAAAATGAGCAGCACATGAGCCATATCTCTCACTCACGTGTGCTTCCAGGAGATGATGCATGCAGCTCTCCTGGAACAGGCAGGCAGACTGTCTTTGTGTTGTAATGTGCTGCTAAGCTCAAGTAAATTGCTTTTCATTGTAGGAAGATCATTGTCACCTCATACTTCATTCGCCCCAACAACCCTTTGTCTTTTTTTATCTGTTTTGGTTGGAATCGGCTCCAGTGATTTTACTAGGCTTCTTTTAAAAATGCCACCCGCCAGTACCTCGGCCCTGTGTCGTGCACCACAGGGAAAGCAAGTGAATTGTGCAGCAGAGCTGGGTAGTATTGGAGAGACTCCCAGTGCTGGAACCTGAATTTAGAAGTTAACAGACTCCGGCTGGTGTCTTATGTAATCCTATGGTATTATCTTTCTTTTTTTTGTCGTTGTTGTTGTTATGCTGTATAGCTAAGACAAAATATGTTAATGCTGGTCAGTCTGAGTAAATCATATGCGCAGTGTGTAATCTTCAAAGAACGTGGCAGTGGGATCCTTCAGCCTGCACACAGGCTCTGCATTCGGAGTCTGCCCCCAGCCTGAGGCTTGTCAGCGCAGATCCGGGCACTCGTGTCTGTGCGAGAGGCAGCCCCTCTTCTGTCTTCGCACTGGGGTCTGCAGCAGGAGGGAGGGGTGCTCGGCACAAGAGAGGTTGTATGTAAGGCATTGGCCACCAGCCAGCGACCCTGCTTTGCTCCCTGCGAGACTTCAGCTTTCCATGACGTCAGCATGGTGGACACCAGGCCTGGGCTTCTCTGGGCCTGCCCCGTGCCCCCTGTGGGAGGGATTGCTTCGCTGCCCCGGGTGGTGGGTTTTGACTGGCAGCGAGGGGGTCCGTGTGTGCTGTGGGGGAGTGAGGCCTGGCAGTGTCTTCCCCCCAGGACCTGGCGTCTCGGTGACAGGCGTGGGGGTGCGGGGCCGCTCAGGCTGCAGTGGAGCAGGCCGCCCGCCGGGGAAAGGCACTGACGCGCTCCGCATGCTTTTCTCTCGCCCGCTTTTCAACACGTTTAGTAAGTTGACTTGGGTGTGTGAGTGTGTGAGTGTGAGTGAGAGAGCAGTCTCAACCTCACTGTCCACCTGTAGAAGTCCTCTCCCGAATGGGTTATCCTTACGGAGCAGGCCTGCTGTACATCTTCGGACTTATTCCGCAAAGGGGGCGACTGTTGAAATCTTGGGACCGTCACATTAGATCACCACAGATAGATAGTTCTACTGTATTTTTGAAAAGGGAGAGAAACATGATCAGTATTGATAAAAAATACTATGTATTGTGATCTTCATACTGTAAAGGGTTCCAGATTTTAGTTTAATATTCAAGGGTTTTGCAAGTGTTGGGGAAACTCTTCGGATTTGTTTTCACTTTTCTCTTGGTTCCATTGATACATTTACAACATTAATCCCTGTTTACACTTCACTACGAATCCTGTGGCACCATGAACTTGCAGTTTTGCTGCTGTCTTGATTTATTCAGCCCACACTGCTGTTTTGGCAGTAATAGAAGTGATGGGTTGTTAGGCTTTAGTTTCAGCCACATGGAGTTTCATCCTCCTCCCAGGTATTTTGAGCATCTTGTCAGGTGCAGCTGTACACTGAATTTAGTTTTGCTTTCCATACCACAAAGAAACATTTTCTACACAGTGAAGTTCTACTCTAGACAGTGAGCAACTATAACTGTGTACCTATTAGGAGATCTTCTTTTTCTGGGGTTTTGACAACCAATCCTCAAGCTACATCATTTGATAACCAATTTCACAGATATTTAGGAAAGCAATGAAATAGAGAGATTTTGCTTTTTAATCTAAAGAATAATGATTTTGTATCAGTCTAGGACCTGTAGAGGGAATGAACATTAGACTTGCACTCAGTTTAAAAAGAAGGTCTGAGACCAATCTAATTATAAATGGATGTAAAATGTTGTTTTGGACCAGGAAAAGACGGAACTCCCTTTGATTCCCCTGTGTATTGTAGAAGTGTTTTTTGCTTTGCCACGTTGTTTTTTGAGGTTCCAAGTGTTTGATTTAATTAAATCTACGATTTTACCCTTTTTCTGTGAATTTGTCTTTTAGCAGTGCCATATTTGTCCTTTCCCAAAATGTTGTCTTTTCGCACTCAGTATTTAAACAATGGTTTGTGGCTGAAGGAGGACTTCTGTATCTGAGCAGTCAATAATGACTGAGTTCATCTCTGCCCCAGGTGTTCAGTCCCACAAACTGGCCAGTGCTGCTGTGTAGGAAGAGTGGTAGGTGCTGGTGTCTGGAAGATGCAAGGATGTTAACAAGACTTTTGAAGATGATTGTCCTCACAGGTGGACAGAAGGGCATGTTCATAAAGCATAAACGCTCTTGAGGCCTGCATGCTGCTGCTATAAAATGTTAGCCTGACACGTTTCCAGGCTCACTGCTTCCAGTGAAAGCCTTCTTGTAGTTCTTCTGCTGATGCAAGAGAACATCATTGCACTTTTACAAAAAGTCCTCTGGTGCCAGGGTCCTGATGTGAACCTATTTCTTCATGACGCTCAGTGTGCCTGCTTTGATCTGCCCAGTCTTAAAAAAAAATCTTGGTCCAAATTTAGCAAGTATAAAACTCAAGAAAAGTCATGAATAATGGTGTCAGCATCTGCCATTATAGTCAACTTGTTTAGGAGCTGCAGTACTTTTTCAGGTTTTATTATGTATATAATGTTTATTATCCTTTGAAGTTGAAGGGTAAGGAGTGAGGGAATTTAGCTTTCTGTCCTTCTTTATTATTACACTGCGTGTTAAAATATTTAATAAAGGAAGTCCAGTTCAGGTAGATTTTTTCAGACGTCGAAAACGTTTGTGCTTTTTTGAAAACGTGCATCGAACTCCTGTGTTAAATCAGACACCCGGCTCTCGCCAGGCAGTTCTGAAGGCACGACTGGTTCTTCTCAACCTCCCCATTTGTACTTGAATAGTGTAAATGAAGATGGATATTTTGGCAGCGATAACGCACAAAAAGACATAAAAGGCAGAACCCATCGAGAGTGCATGGAAGATCTCACAGCTGCTTGCACTCACTCTTGCCCGGCACGAGGCCAGTTTGGTTCGACTGTGCTGCCTGTGGTTAGGCCTCTGTCCTGGTCTTTCTCACTCACAGTTGGTTTCTTTCCAGTGGTGGATGTGGCTGTTTTCCAGAACGCACGCAGCTAGCCACACAAGACAGATTTGGAATGGAAATTGATTCTGGCCAGAGGCAGGCCCAATTTTTCCGTTGTTGACATCTTCATTTTTTTAGTGTGCAGCAAAAAAAAATGTTCATAAAAAGCAACAGCAGAAGCATGTGTTTATAATCGATACAAGGTGTCGAAATTTGAGTAGCGCCTTGCACGTGTCAGAAACTGCCTTCATCCTAACTCGCGCCCATTCCTCCACAGCTCTGTAAGTGCTTAAGGTTTCAGCGAAATGCGAAATGGATTCGTTTTTAAAGCTCCTGGTTTATGTTAGGTGTGAGACAGTAAGTGAGAGCAGAGTCATTCCTGGTTTTTCCAGCCCAACAGCTTTACAAAAGAAATCTCTGGCTCGGTTTCTGAACATCACAGTTCTCTGTAAAATAAAGAGAAGGGAGCTCTCCCACCACCTTTTTGCTGCATTAAACTTGAAACATGTTTTTGGATCTGCCATGTGTGAAGATTTTTTTCATTTTAGTAAGGAGCAAATTTCTGTTTTAATCCCATGAGGCTGATTTCTGGTCTTATGTCTGAACTAGACATCCTTGGAAAACCAGTCACAGCTGCCTCAGTAGTCGCACAAGTTAAAAACTGCAGAAGAACCTGTGATTAGGAATGCAGTTTTCTTCTTTTATTTACATTTTTAATTCTAGCTGGGCTTGGCCATTCTCACTAACCTCTTTGCCAGAGGAATTACACGAGTGCTACAGGGATGTTTTGTGTGTGTTTCACCAAACAGGGTGTTGTGTAGTCCTGTTTTTCACACAAAAAATCCCACAGAACACATCTTAAATTAGTCAATAAGTCATGAATAAAATAGAAAGAGTGCCGCTGATGACATTGTTCCTTTTAATTAAGCAGGAAAAGGCTTATTTTCAGCTGGAGGTCGTTCTTTAACGGTTGGTACTGGTAATTGTTTCAGTTGGAAGTGTGTATGAAATGACAAAGATCCGTCTCGTCACCAGCGTTGACTGCCAGCCAGCAGTGAAGTGAAAAGGCATTGTCCAAATAAAATTAAATGACTAAAACCACAGTGGCAGGACTGTAAGGGTCAGTTCACAGACTGCTGGCCTGCAGACTTGGCTCGTTCAGGTGCTGCAGGGGGGCTGTGAGTGAAGACTGAGCCGCCTAATGAAACTCCTGATGGGCAGATGTAGCTGGTGACCTGAGGGTCCAGCCTGCTGAGATCTTGTCAATTTTTAGTATCATTAAGAGCTTTTTGATGAAAGTCTAACATGTTTTTTTCCTGCCAACTATACGGCTTTTGCTCCTTCTAGGGGATGGGAGGGAAGAGATTTTAACAAAAGCCCATTTTCACTTCAAAAACATTAGGGCAGCTGGCTATTTTTGAGCCAACCAGAGAGATGACCGTCTTCCTCTGAGCCAGTATGATCTGGGAAGCTCTAATGAGTTTAACAGAAGGAGGGCTTCCGAAAATCTGTTCCTCTAGTGACCCCAGACACTGGGGGGGGGGGGGTTCTTTTCTTATGTGGGTAAATCTCGAGCTGGATTCTCTGAGACAGTGGAGGGCATCTGCAGAAAATCTTAGAAACCATTCACCCATGACAAGCGAGTACATTTGTGTCTTATCAACATTCCTTCTCTGCTTGTCACAAGATCTGGTGCACAGTTGCTCACAGGCAGTCCAGCTCTGGTATGAATGGATATCTTCAGTCCAGCAGTCCTGGTGTTTATAGTATTCTTCTGATTCGGCTGCATGTTTCTTGTCAGTGAGCTTTAGAAAATCAATGTAGTATGACTGAAAAAGTTCCCAGAAAAAGGTCAAGTCAAAATCTTAAGCAGAAACAGACATTAAAATATAACAAGTGAAACACAAAGAACAAGTCAGAAAAGAAATGGGAAAATACACATACTAACTCACCTTGTGCACACAGTCCAAGAATGCTACAATCTGTGATCTGACGCGTAGGTATTCAACAGAGGTGCTATAGGACTTATGTTTTGTCCCTTTCACACATTTTATATATTTTATATTATATATATATTACGTTTTTCATTACAAAGCAACTAGCTTAAGTAATTAAAAGATTGTTTGGTGCTGTGCTAATAAAGGTGTTTAGGTTGGTACTAGAGTGTGAGTAGAAATGTTACATGCTTAAGCTTCAGGAACAAATGGTTGGATGGTTGGAAAATGTAAGATCTTACAGCCTCACTCAGGCTAAGTTTGGAAAGTAAGATGGGTGCAATATTAAATTCAGTCACTTTACATGGCTTCCGATATGAAGTCCTACCCTTCATGAGCCTCATCTTAAATTTCAGAGAAGTACTGGACAGTGTTGCCTTCATACTTCAGACTGCCTACAGTCTTTATGGCTTGGAAGTGCTATCCCCCTATGCATAAATGTCTCCTGCTGTAAAAAGAAAAACAGTTGGCACGTTTTGTAGAGGTCTAAATCTGTTAGTTCACCTATTTTATTCTCGTTTGAACCCCCCTGCTCTCCGTAATCCCTTCAAAAAGGAGTAATCTGTCGCAAGACTAGAGCTGAGGACCCGCAGGCCCGTGCTTGGCTGTCTGGAGTAACAGAAGGACCCAGGGGGGGTGAAAAGCCTTGTTTACTTACAGTGCTGCAGGACTGGGGTGTTGAACACATGCTTTGCCCTTGCTGCGTGTCTATGAAGGCCCTAACGGCCGTGTGTGTGTGTGGCTGTCTGTAAGTGCACACCGCCCCTCGTCTCCTGCACCCACTGGCTGGCACGGTGCCGAGGCAGCCCACAGCAACCGCAGAGCAAACTGAAAGCTGAACAGGTTTTGCGTTACAGAAAAGGAGATGGCGCACAGGGAAGGGGGATGGGGAGTAGAAGTTTCCTGAGCTAATAAAAAGTGAATTAGTCTACAGGCTGCCAGCAAAGCATTCCTGTGCCATTAGACACGTTACCTCACTGCAGACTCTTGTTACTTTGGGAGGGCTGAGCTGGCAAATGCAGGTCACCTCCAGGGGAAAGATCTCAAACAGCAGTGAGGCCCGAGGCCTGCAGCCATTGCGAAAGAGAACAGTGTGGGTTTGTAGGCAGCGTTTTGAAATATTCAATACGTACACACACACACATTTGTGTTTTAGTAATGTATGCAACTCTGGCTGGTCTGGTGTTTTGACTTATTTTTCACTATATTTTGACAGTCAGGTTTGACTCAGACTGAATTACATCTGTATTTGTGATATTAATATTTGAAACTGTAAAGTTAAGAAAAAGATATCCATTCGTTATCCAAGTTTTGTAAGTGGAAAGCAGTTTTGGCAGTGTTGATTATACCTTGTGCTGCTTCTGCTGGCACTTTGTAATTTGGTGGTTTTAATTTCCCACATTTACCTCCAAGAATTAGCACAGCAAGTGGTATTTGATCTTTAAACATGCTGTCCCAATGAGCATTTCATTGCCTCTCCTGATTAAATCTGAACAATTAACTTTAAAGCAACACAGCAGGACACAGGTGCTGTGCAAGTCATCACTGTTTTTTCCATTCAGTGAATAGCTGTAGGATTAAAAACAAGTGTCTCTATTTGTAAAGTACCTTAAATCAGATATCTGGAGAATTGTGTGTGTGGCTTGATGTAATGATGAATTCATGTTGGTTTCATCATGTGGGTCTACATAGCTAAAGGTGAAACTAAACCAGCAATTCTGGTCAAGAGCATACCAGTCTGTTATAGCCAAGATAAATGAAACAGCCTATTACTAAAGGATTTTGCAGCTGCTTCTCAGTAGACAAAATTGTCAAGTTTGACAGTTGCTGCCACCTACTGTTAGGAAGCCCTTTAACCAAATCTTTCACTTGCAGAATCAAAGCAGTCAGTCAAGAAGCCACACGGTCCTTCAGAAGATAAATCTGTGCAGGCAGGCTTTGCTCCAACAACTGGAAACACTTTGATATGCTTCAGTGGTTTTCAGTGTGACATAAATAATTTGACCTTTACTGTGAGCCCAGGAAACTGGAAACAAAGGCAGTTGGAGGACACGATCAAAAACATTGTAGAATGAAACAAGTTTTTTTTTCCAATGAACAGCAGTTCAGTTACTAATGGGTCTGCAAAATTTAAACGAAGTACGCTGCCGAAGTACGCTGCCAAAGTACACTGTTCAAATCATGCTGTTATCAATTAAAAAGGAAAACCAGCTTGTCAGGCATTCTACTGTACTGATTCTGAAGCTAGCAGCCTGATTTTTTCCCTTTTCCATTTTTTTCTTTGAAGGTATTTGCCTACTAAAATGGGATCCCTTCCTTTCATAGCACTGGATTTCTTTTTATAAATGGATTTATTACTGCAAAATATTTCTTCAGTTTTTCTTTTGTGTTTTTTGCAAATGTGCACCAGCAGTTTGGCCCCCAAAACTAAAGGCCTGACAGTTGCTTTGAAGCTGAAAATCCAATTAGTAGCAGCATTTGATACAGTAATGTATGATAGTTGCAATCCTGAGCCAAGAAACCCTGCACACCCTTTTCACTGCGGAATGCTTTCGTTCATGGTGTTATCAAATTAACATTTTTATGTGAACTTTTTAAATTTTTATAATTTTAAAATGTAAAAGCAGGTAGAAAATGTGATGTTATTATAATTACTAAATTCATTTGAATTTTAATGGGTCAGTTGGCATAATCGGTAACTTTTATTGAAACTTGTTATTATTGTTATTATTATTATTATTATAATTGATGATAAAAGCTTCTTTCGAGCTCATGTCATATTTACCTTAGCTTTTATCATCATAAAATGAAGCTTTGAAAGCAGTCACATGGCTGTGTTGTCATTGATATGTTGGAGTTCTTGGTATCAAGTACACTTTGGACGTAATAACAAACTGGACAAGATTATTACCTCATGTACATTCCTTTTGGAATCACTGCATGAATGTTTTAAGTCTTATCTTTGCTTGTTTTTCTTTTCCAGGAATGCTGGTTGTCAATGTCACTTGGAGAAACAAGACTTATGTTGGGACTCTGCTAGACTGTACAAGGCACGACTGGGCACCTCCAAGGTGAGGACGCCGAGAGTTGTGTAAACAGAGAATGGATGAAATTCACCTGCCCTTGATAATCCAGCAGAAATATGAAAAGGAATATTCTGGGAATCCCCTCTTGCCCATGTGGTTGTTTGTAATCTCTAAGCAAGCTATGACCTCCTTTCACATTGAAACACTCTTTCAGAGCTCTAGGAAGTTGAACTTCATAGTTCTTAGAAAATTAAAGAGAATGCTTATTAACTTTGTTTACTGCTATTAGCAATCTTCTTTAAAAAATAATTTCCCCATTAATATTCTGGAATACAAAGAAGAATTTGTAGACAGTACACAGTATTGTTTTTATTTTTTTTTATCAGCTTAGTTTAAACTCATCCAGAAGCTTGAAGCCAGCAGACTGTTTTATAGGAAATCACTGTGACTCTCACTACCTCTTGAGTGGCAGACCGAGTCTTTCCCTATCTTCTGTCTGCTGGAGTATCTTCAGGCATCTGATCGACATTCAGGACAGAGGAATTCAGACTGTGAATAGGGTGGTATGTGATGTGCCGGAACTAAGCAGTTGCTTAGATAAGTGATACAAGGAGCATCACATAGAAATCTCTATTTCTTGTCTGCAGCACTCTTTATATTCAGTTAAAAGCCTCTTGCTGGAATCTGAATTTCAGTAAGGGTGTTACTCATGTGAATGCCTTCTGTAATGATTGGAACCTCAGTTGGGATGCTGATGCATAAAATATATTTTTTCTATTACAAAGTGATTTATAGGACAAAAATGTTTCAGCTTTCCACAAATAGGTATGAAGATTCAAGATTTCTTTATTTGCCATATACAACAAGTGTATTGGAATGCTTACCCGTTCAGCTGTACCCAGTAACGTTAGGGAAAAAAACAATATGCACAGATGACAAACAGACATGGACAATACATTTAGACAATAGATATTATAAAACAGCCAAGACAGGACATACTGCAAACAGTGCAGTACCTTAAAGTGCAGGTGCTAATACGTGCAGGTGCTAATTTGAGCTGTTTATGATGTGGACTGCTTGTGGGAAGAAACTGTTCTGGAATCTATTTGTCAGTGTTCTGATATTGCGATACCTCCTACCAGAACCCAGGGGTGAAAACAGGTCGTGGCCAGGGTGAACTGGGTCCCGAAGTATAGCTTGAGCCCGGGTGTGGCAGCAGGCGAGATATATCTGGTTGATGGAGGGTAGCTCGGTCCCAGTGATTTTCTGCGAGGACCTCACAACCCTCTGTATGGCTTGGAAGATGAGCAGCTATGTAAATGTAGGCATGCTAGGTAGATAAAACCTGTTTCTCCTCAATTTCAGGTTCTGCGAGTCGCCCACAAGTGACCTGGAGATGAGAAATGGCCGTGGAAGGGGGAAGAGGATGAGGCCCAACAGTAACACCCCTGTTAACGAGAACAGCAACTCCTCGGATAACAAGGGCAGCAGCAGCAGCAAGACCCGGGCCGGATCCAATAGCAAGGGCCGGCGGGGCAGTCAGAACTCCTCCGAGCGCCGCACGCCGCCCAACAGCAACACGGAGGACGTCAAGGCCAGCCCATCTTCTGCCAGCAAGCGGAAAAGCAAACCGGCCTCTGACATGGAGCCCAACTCCAGCTCGGAGGACACCAAGGGGAGCAAGCGGATGCGCACCAACTCCAGCTCTAACAGTGGGGCTCCCCCGTCCACCATACCCATACCCACCATTAAAACAGAACCTCTCCCCCCTCCCCTCGACCGGAACTGCCCGTCCCCTGTCCTCATTGACTGCCCACACCCCAACTGTAACAAGAAGTACAAGCACATTAATGGCTTGAAGTACCACCAGGCCCGTGCCCACAATGATGACGATATCAAGCAGGAGATAGATGGTGACAGTGAATACGGAGAGGACTCCACACTTCATCCTGAGCCTGGGAGCTGCAATGGAGCCTCTGTCTCCCAGAAGGGATGCCTTTCGCCAGCACGATCAGTCACCCCCAAAGGCAGAGGCTTTGAAGGTCAAAGCCCATCCCCTTCATCGGGGAAATTTAGCTGTAAGCAGTCCAGCAAGAAGAAGTCTTCCGACACGGATCAGGAAGCTGGTGGGACTCCCATGGATGGCTCTGAAGATGGGCCGTGTCTCACAGATGATGCCAGCAATGACGGCATGGATGACAAGAAAGGATCAGATAAGGACAAGTCCAAGAAGTCTAGCAGCAGTAGCAGCAGCAGTGCCAAGTCTGAAAAGCTACCACAGAAGAGCTTGAAATCGGCCAGGCCCATAGCTCCAGCCATACCTCCTCAGCAGCTATACACCTTCCAAACTGCGACTTTCACCACTGGAAGCCCAGGGTCTTCTCCTGGGCTCACCACCACTGTTGTACAGGCTATGCCCAAGAGCCCACAGCTGAAAGCCATCCAGCCCAAACCCACGGTGATGGGAGACCCCTCTACTGTGAACCCAGCCCTGAGCAGCTCCAAGGACAAGAAGAAAAAAGATAAAAAGAAGAAGGAGGCAAGTAAAGATGCAGACAGTCCTAAGCCTTCAGGGAAGGGGGGTAAACCTGAAGAGGGTAAGAGCCCTTACTCCGAGTCATCCGATCCGGGCAGCAAGAGTGACGGGCTGCTAAATGGTTCCTCAGATTCCCACCAGAGTCGTTTGGCCAGCATTAAAGCAGAGGCAGACAAAATCTACAGCTTCACAGACAATGCTCCAAGCCCATCCATTGGCGTTGCAAGCCGGATTGACAGTGGGGGGATGGTGCAGCCCCTGACCCCTCTCCACGTGGTGACTCAGAACGGTGCGGACAACTCATCGGTGAAGACAAACAGCCCCGCTTATTCAGACATCTCGGATGCGGGGGAGGACGGGGAAGGCAAAATGGACAATGTGAAGGCCAAGTCTGAGGACCAGGCCATGAAGGAAGGGGCCAAGAAGGCACTCTTCCCAACCCAAACGCCCAACAAAGAATCCCCTTACTACACGAGCTATGAAGCTTACTACTCTCCAAACTACGCCAACCCCAGCCCGGGGGCTTCCAACTCCAGCGCTCCTTTGGCCGAAGGACAGCCTGTGAAAGTAAAGAAAGAGGAGGAGCCGGAGCAGACAGAGGGAAAGGTGAAAATGGAGCTCCAGGAAGAGCGCAAGCCAGAGATCAGCTCCTCCAGCCAGCAGCAGCAGCAACAACAGCAGCAGCAGCAGCAGCAACAACAGCAGCAACAGCAGCAACAACAGCAGCAACAACAGCAGCAACAACAGCAGCAACAACAGCAGCAGCAACAACAGCAACAGCAGCAGCAGCAACAACAGCAACAGCAGCAGCAACAACAGCAACAGCAGCAGCAACAACAGCAGCAGCAGCAGCCTTCTGTCATCCAACAGCGCTCCAGTATGTACATGCAGCCCTTGTATTATAATCAGTACGCGTACGTCCCCCCCTACGGG